CATAGGCTGTAGCCCACGAGGCTCCTCTGTTCATGGGATTCTCCAGGCAAGAATACTGGAGTGGGTTGCCATGCCCTCCTCCAGAGGATCTTCCCGACCCAGGAATCCAGCGAGTCTCTTAAGTCTCTTGCATTGGGAGGCGAGTTCTTGAGCACTAGCGCCACCTGGGGAGCCCCTACAGTAAAATGCTGACTCGGAGAAAACGGAAAGGCTTCCCGACTTCTTATGGAAACGGAAGCCTGGGTAGTGACTTTTTAGAAGTGGGACTTCCAGGCTCTGAAGGACGGATAGACCAATATAGCAGGAGGAGGTATGGGATATATTTTAGGATAGGAGAGGCCTTATTTCAAAAACTTTCAAATTGCAAGGCCTACTCTTGAAGTGTAGAAAAGGGCTTTAATAAGGGAAGGAGAAATGTTTCATTATTTTTAAATAATGTTTACAAAGAGTTTGTAAGAACATTAAAGAAATGCATGTGCTGTATAATATAAATACATGTACACATATATGCATTCATTATTTGATCTCATTTATGTAAAAATGTATATTCCTAACAATAACATACCCTTATTGAATTACTACATGTCACAACAACCCTATAAAGTAGGTAATTATCACCAGTTTGCAGATGCACAGATGGGTTAGGTAATTTTCCAAAAATGACACAGCTAGTAAAAGATAGAGCTCAGATTTGAACCTTGCGGGTGTATATGTATATGTGTGTTTGTGTGTGTGTATATTTTTTTGCCAGGCAGTGCAATTTATAGAATCTTAGTTCCCTGACCAGGAATCAAACCCCGGGCCCTCAGCACTACAAGTGCAGAGTCCTAACCACTGTACCACTAGGAGATTCTAGAGCCCATACTGTTAACTATGTTAGACAGAGAGGAATCTATCAAAATGTTCACTGTGGTGGTTTTTCTCTTCTTATCTCCAGGTTTTTCTATACAGATGTCCTATAAGAGTTAAATGATTAAAGTTTGAATAGGGAAGAAGGGGGTGGTGGTGAAATTGAAGGACAAATGCATATTTTAGAACAAAAGAATCCACCCTATTTCCTTTTCCACTCTGTTAAATTTTCCAGAAGAACTGATGGCTACCACAATTCTACAGGCCACTGAGGCCCTGTCCCTGGAAGCTGAAGCCAGCACAGCTCTCATTGCAGGTAACAAAGACTCTGAGTCAAATCCAAGGGGCCCTCTGAGCTCAGGGGCCCTCTTGCTCCAAAGGCAGCCAAGAAACCGATGTGATGGACTAAGATTCTCCCTATACAGAACATCACCACAAACTAGAGACCAAGTCTATTGATGGGTTCACTTTGGCATGTAAGTCATGTTACACACACAGAGGCTTCACATCAGAGGCACTGCCAGTAAATGAGAGGCTGGGAGGTGGCCACAAATAGATGCGCTGCCTATGGGTGCTGCAGTCGGGTGTGGGGGTAGGGATGAGGATGTGTGTGGTTTGTTGAGTGGTAAGAAAGAGGATGGGAGGGATCAGAAACCCCTACAGGAGGCTATGGATTTAAAGACTCTTCCTGTTGGGATAAGCGATTTCCTGTTTCCCTCCTTCCTGTTTCTATCGTAATCGTCAGGAACTAGTTGAGAGGGAGTTCATTTTGACAGAAATCAAAAGTCCTTAAGCCCAAGGAGACTCCGGATATCATATACTAAGGAAGTTGGGCTTGGTGGGAGAATATGGACTTGGATGTGGACACTAGTTAACAGCAGGAGGATCCTCATTAAGAGTGAGGGAATCGTCTAAAGCAGGGGACCCCAAGAGTTACTGAGATGCCCCAATCCTGAAACATGTCTGCATTTTCCCTCTCCTTTCCAAGTTGTTATCACCGTGGTCTTCCTCACCCTGCTCTCAGTCGTGATCTTGATCTTCTTTTACCTGTACAAGAACAAAGGCAGCTACGTCACCTACGAACCCGCAGATGGCGAGCCCGGCGCCGTTGTCCTGATGGAGAATGACTCAGCCAAGGGCAGGGAAAAGGAAGAATATTTCATCTAATGGTTCCCAGGCCCCAAGGAGCTTATCCAGGTTCCAGTGCTAACACACTATTCATTAGGTGAAAGTTTTACCTGAAACTGGTGAGGAGCATCCATTGATACGGGTAGACCTAAGCTGCTTCCAGGACGCGGGCCTAAATGCCAGCATCACTGTCACCATGGACTGGGGACACGAAGCCAGCTGCTCACGTCTCTGGCCAGGCCTGTCACACAGCTTCTGACTCACGAGTGAGATGGAGCCGTACTGAGCAACACTGGCTGGAGTATACGCCCAGTCATCTTCACTTTTTTCGCAGGCTGAAGGGAAGAAGAGTCGGGGGTCTCTGGATGCTCCTCCGCCCTTTCCTGGTCACCTAGTGACCACCCGAGTGGAAGGAGTACCCTTGGTTATTCCCAGAGGCGGGACACCACAAGGAAAGGCCAGGCCAGCAGGGCCAGGAGACCGTGGAGACCTCCCTCCTGATGAACATGCCACGTCCCTTAATCTGAGCCCTTCCTCTCCTTATCCCCCAACAATCCAGACATATGCTATTTTTATTAGAATTAAAATCACTTGATACAGAAATCAGATTCTCATGTGCCGGACATCCCCATCTTTATACTGACTCATCTCTGCTCAAACTTTTGACAGTCTGCTCTGTTGTTCAGCCTCTCAGTCATGTCCGACTCTGTGACCCCATGAACTGCAGCATGCCAGGCTTCCCTGTCCTCTGTCTCCCAGAGTTTGCCCAAGTTCATGTCCATTTTTTGCTTACTCAACTCTTACCTGTGTTTTCTCCCAAGCAAAGGGGGCCCCAGGGAAGTTTCAGAAGTTCCCAGAACAGTCTCAGGGGTTTGCAACAGAGATGGTCCTGGGAAGTTTGTCCTAGAAGAGGGTCATTAGAAACAAACCCTGGGAGGTGAGTTGTTTAGCCTCCATCCTGGCAAGGGCCAGGATGTCCCTGATCCATTCTGTGTGCACACAGAGGGAACCAGGAACAATCTGTGACTTTTCCCACCAGTGCCCTTTCTATCAAGCCAGAGAGGCTTCTGGGATCTCACTTCATCCATCTCAAAATGAGGCATATTTAAAAGGTACAGTGTTTGGGTAGAAATCATTAACTCTCCATGCATTGTTTACTTTGGAATTAAACTAAACCTCCTTCAAGGTCTTAACTATATTGTCTTCATTTTTCAAGCTCAAGTCCACCCAAGGTAAGACTCAAGAGTTGAGAAATTCATCTTAGCAACTTATATTCCAGTTTTCAGCATTTCTCCAAACAGAATTTTGGAAAAACCGAAGATTACCCTCAACTTACAACTTAACAAGTTGTCAAACTAAAACACATTTTCCTCAAGTCAAACTTAAGGGCAGGAGGAGACTCCTCCAAATGAGGAGACTCAATTGTTCCCTTATTTCTAAGTTTATGTTCTGAATTCTTCTGGCCTAATAGGCTTTTAAGAACCTGAAAGCACTTAGGAAATAAAATGAAAAAAAGCTAAACATCTAGAATGGAACTCATGAAAATGGTCAAATCTTAGCCTTGTACTCCTGCATTTATTTCAAATACTTCATTAAAAGAAAAAAATGATAGCAGCACTTATCTGAATTCTAGGTGGGATATAAAAAATGTTATATACAGAAGAGATCTAAAAACAAGTTGAGTAAAGAATCCTTGAAGTGAGGTGTAATGCAACTTCATCACTTTATTCAAATCTTCAAAATAGTCTTTATTCTACATTTTTAGTATAAAAAATCCACAAGTTAAGTGCACCACAGTGTAGAGAGAGACATACAACGCTGAACTTCCATAACAGTCAATGGTACAGTCAAACATCACATGTACAGAACACAAATTTAGATGAACTGAAATTATAAGATAAAATAAAATAAAATCCAATTTTAGAAAACAAAAATCAAAATATTAAGGATCCCTGAAATATTCTTAACCCTAATGAGATTTCACTGGACTCAAGTCATTTAGTAGTGAGGCATTCACAATATGACCCCATAACCCAGCTGAGGAATTCTTGGGAGCCATGAGTGGCTACATCAGACACTGACAAGAAATGGTAACCAATTTCTGATCTGCAAACTCCCCTTAATTTGGCTCCAGAGTCATCAGGCTTTTAAATGCATCCTCCTCCTTGTCCCTCAAAATTTATAAACAAACTGCTGTTTACGGTACAGTTTGCACTGGTATCCTTTGTTAAAACAAGGTTCAGTTTTTCTGGCACCAAAACAAATTTGGGTTTGGTTCATGTCTGAAGAGAAAACCTATGAGGAGGGTCCAAAAAGCACCCTCCGCTTTTGCCTGAGGAGATGCAAAAGCAGAAGAAATGGGTCCTGTGCTTGGGGCACAGAGGGGGTTTCAGAGGATCCTTTGTGAAAGACTAGTTAAAAGATGACAAGTGGGGGAAAGTGCAAGGAGAGAAGGAAATTAGTCTGACTGGCTTTCTGTCCTGCACCATTGATTCAATGGAGATTGGTGGGAAAAGAGTGGAAGACAAGGATTGAGGGTAGGACCAGGGGCAAAGGATGGAAAGGAAAAGGCAGACAACTAATGCGGTTTGTTTATAACAAGTAATATAAATCAAAGACTTAAAGGAGATTAAAGACCAATCAGAATAATTTGGCAACTTTAATTCTTAGGAAGATCAAAGTTCCCTCCAAACCTAATTTGATGTTTTATTACTAAAAGCAAAGACCAGTATGGTACAGTATTACTCCAGAGGAATTAAAGGAAGATCCTTAGGGCTGCTTTACCCACATTCATTTTATGAATGGATACCTCCCCTACCTCAAAATGCTTTAGAGAGGTACTGCTACCATTACATGGTTCCTTATTAAGTTTGAAAAGTGCCTGAAAGTTTGGGCACCAGAAAGACACCCCAACAACATGTGTCTAAACTGCAACTTCAGGTTAATATGACTAAAGCAGTTACATTGTGAGAAGTGCTGAAGGTATGTGATGTCTTTCCCGGCATAGAGATGGCCTTGGTTCTTCACCAGATGGTGTAGCCACCATCTGAGCCACCCATGAAGAAGTTTCCCTTCCGCTGAGTTACGAGGACATTGGCTCCCTGCATGACTGCCAGCTGAGCAGCATTGGGAGGGCATCCAGGGGGAGGAGGCTGAAAGGAAAAGACAAGGATGATTGGGCAGAGGGCAGCTGTGGGAGGAAGTGGACAAAGGTAAAAGAGGACCAATCAGGAAGATGGCAGTGTGCTAACCAGTGGCATCTCAAGAGCTATCTGGGCCACCAATCTGAGTCCAGCAGGTCGACATTCTTTGTGAGCCCAAAGATATAAACAGGAAACCCACTCATTTCAAGGGTTCTGGGCCCAAAATAAAGCCTATGGATACCTTCTGAGTGTGGGAAGTCCAGATTCGTAGGCATTTTCAGTGTAGAAAATCACTCCTATTCACATTCCAAAACATGGAGGGGGTACCAGGTCCAGGGATCTATATCACAGGGTCTGACAGTTTTCAAATAGCCCTGGATAATCTGAAGGCTCTACCTGATGACAGCATTTTCACTTCATCCCTAGCCTATGGTTATTGAGTAGATGATCCTAGCAAGGACCATTTGGGCTCTAATTCCCATATATAGGGGAACTAATCAAGAGACAGCTAAAATCCCTAGTATCTCTCTAAATGCAATTTAATAGGGATTATGCATTCTGTTGCCATGCTGATGGCACATATTAAATAAATGCTTATGGAATGAATGAGGAGTGTTATTAGACTAGTATCAAAGTGAACTGGAAAAGCAGCAGGCAGAATTCTTAAGACAGGAAAACAAAAGAACCTGATAAATTCTGACATCAGTGAGTACGCCAGATGTTACTGACTAGCCACGGTTCTCCTGCCCCCTCAAGTGCTTTCTGCCTGACTACTGGACGTCAGTGATTACACCAATACCACCATTCCCCTCTCCCCTCAGTGTTTTCTGCCTGACTACTGGACGTCAGTGATTACACCAATACCAGCAACTATTACCCAGGGATGATAAAAGGATGACCAGTCATTTCAGGAAGTTAAAATACACAAGGGTTGAGCTTTTTCGTGACCAAGTCATACTCACAGGAATGTTTCCAGCAGTAGCGCCAGCTCCAAATCTGGCCCCTGCATCATACCCTCCTTCCACCAGCACTGTTGAACCAGGTGGATAGATGGGACCAACTGGATAATAAGCCATGGGGATTGTGGAACCTAAAGGTCCAACAGCCACAGACTGGGCCATGGGAAGATACAGTGAGGCGCCAGGAAATGCAGCTGACATGGTGGGGACGGTGGCAGCCCCTGGGTGCACAAAGCTTGGACGATACAGCTAGAAGAGGCAGAAGAGAAGGCAACAAGTTACTTTATGACATTCCTATTTCAGATCTCATTTTAATGAGTCAAGTCTTAATTCTCCTTGTGCAGGTTACACTCTGAGTTACACAAATTGCCTTTCCACTGCCACCCAATATTCTCCTGGATCACTTCCTGCTATAGCTAATGTTAGGCTCAGGGAATGCAAACTCATCTTCTTAACTTCAGCCGGTGCCAAATAACATAAAACAATCAGATAATGCCTTCTCAAACCCAACAGAAATGGCTAAACTATGTCACGTTTTAAGATGATTCATGTGAGCACTCTCTCCTATTTATGGAAAGTAAATAAACGTGTGGAGCCAGACTTGGCCAAGGACTGAAAACATTATCCAAGAGTACTCCATTATTTAAGTCTAGTTAACTGGAAGCACCTCTGAGTAGGCAGGTGGAGCATCAGTATAAGGTGGAGCCTGAGGAAGATGCAAGGTCTGAGGGTACACAGGGTTCCCAGGAGGCTGCACGGGGTAAGTTGGCTGCGTTGGATATTGACCTGGAAGACAAGGGGGAAAAAAACCATGTTGTCTACCATACAGAGTCACCAAAACAAAGCAGGGCATACTGGGTAGCTAACCTAGCTGGGACAAGTGCAAACAGACTGCCCTAGAGGGCCTGATTCCTGGAGCCAAGAAAATAAGCATTCTCTTTGCATCCTTAAAGCTGAAGAAGCTGGATTCCAACTGGACATCCAGTAGCAGACTGCTGTCGGGAAAGTCGAGCTGGGCCCAAGATCCTTTCAGAACGCAGGGCAGTTCTGGGCACCCCCTCTAGCCGGTATTTCAACGGTGTGTCCTGTTTTTCTGCCCTGCGTGGTCTCCAAAGGTCTGGTTGTAACTGACCAAGACCTCGTGAGTAACGGTGGTTGTGGTCATCGACCTCACAGGTTCCTACTCAAGGTCGACTTCCAAAAGAAGAGAGTGAGAGGTGGAAGTGAACACTGAGATCGGGGAGGTGGCTGAGGGGAATGTTCTGATACAGAAACCGGGAGACTTTCTGGCCGCCAGCGAGGGTAAGGGGAAAGAGACCCCCTTCGGGCCCGACTGGCCCGCCCACCAGCGCGGCACTTCACCAGTTAAGCCCGGAGGCCTGCCTGTGGTTCCGGAGCACAGCGCCCCGCCTCTGCCAGTTCTCCATTGGCCTACCCAAATCTCGCCTCCAGCTCCCCATTTGCTCCTACATACGCTCATCACGACAAACCTTCTCCCCCCACCCCACAACCCACCCACCCAACAGCACCCCCCCCCACCCGAGCCCACAGCTCCAAACTGCGCCACAGAGATTAAGGGAGAAAGGGCCGTGAGGGAGCGAACGGCCGTAGTTCGGGGATGACGAAGGTGTCTGGCGCACCCCGGCCACTGCAGCTGGCTAAGGAGCGCAGCGCACCTCGCCCCAGGCCTGGCGTTCGGTGACCCTGGGCTCCGGGCCCACTCGTTCCGGGCCAGTACTACTCCCCCCGGCGGCCTCAGCCACCCCCTGTCCTTGCCTTTGCTGTTCATGGTGGCTGCGGGTCCGGCTCGACTCGGCGTCGCGGACGGTTATTTTTTTCGTCCTCTTCCTGTTCGTAGTCACTTCCGTGTCACGTGATGTTCTGTCCGCCTAGCGTCACCCGACGCCCGAGTGCCGCTGCCACCGGAAACCCCGCCCCTCCGCTCGGCCTCCGGTTGCTGGAGGGAGGGCCCGCGTGATCCCGTCCTCTCCCGTAGGCCCCGCCCACCGGGTCTTGTCCTCCAACCCCTACCCTTGTCCCTCGGTTGAAGGAAAACCAAATACAGGTATTGTCTCAAAACGGGGTCTTTTCTCTCTTGGACGCTCGGAGGCAGTAACATTAAACTATTCTCTGGAGTCGTTTTCCACCTACGTTCGGCATCTCAAGGTCACCTCATCTTGACAGCCTTTCTACAAGGGGCATGCGTGCTTGCTAAGTCGCTTCGTCGAGTCCGACTCTGCGACTCTGTGGACTGTAGCCCGCCAGGCTTCCTCTGTCCATGAGATTCTCCAGGCAAGAATACTGGAATGGGTTGCCATTTCCCATGGATCGAACCGGCAACTAACACACACAAGGGGCATAAATTCCTACAATCTTATCTAACTGCCTGAGATGCTCCGCAACCCTAGGTCTGTCACTCGCTCCCGTCACTCAAGTCATCTCTGCCTTTCTATTCTACCGATAGACTGTTGGTATTTTATTTCTGTGTCGCTTTCTCACCGACAGGAAGGGTATGCTGTGCTGTGCCCCGCCCCCAACCCCCACTCACCCCCAGGACAGCTAGCACTAAAACGCATGTTTTTGGTACCCAAGGAGTACCCATGCCCTGGCCCTTACTTTGATACCTGTCACAGACACTTTTTTTTTCTTTTTTTCACAGACACTTGTATGGTACCTGTGTATTTTCGCTGTGTATCACTTCTAAGTTAATTGTTCTTAAAAGCAAAGATGCCATCCTTTAAGGCAACAATTGCTTCCATTCTTTAAGATATCTGCTGAACGCTTGCTGTGTTCAGGTACAGAGATGGAGCTGAACAAGACAACCCAAGGCTATTTTCTCATGGTTTACTTTCTGTAGTGTAGGAAGAACATTAGAAAAGCATCTGAAAAGAAAGCTTTGAAAAGAAAAACTCTCGGTAAACATTAGAAACCTGATAAATATTTGCTGTTGAATAACTTAAACCACTGAAAAGGCCAGTACTCACTTCATCAGCAATCCGTTGTTTTTCTCTCCAGTATCATATTACAGTTTGCAGAACACCGTTAATATGCATGATTTTATGGAGTCCACAGATCTTCACAACAGCCCTGTGTGGCAGGCAGGGCTTGTTTAAGCATTTCTGTTTTTTAAATGAGAGAATTGATTAAAGAGGTTTGCCCTAAGTCACACAGTGAGCAGGTTACAAAGTCAGGTGTGTTATCTTTGGTTCCCAAATCAGTGTTTTTGTTTTGTTTTGTTCTTATCCCTTCACTCTGCCTAAAATTCCCTAAAAGCGCAATATCCAGGGTTGTATTTGGAGTTCTTTTAGGTTTTTTCCCTTTCATTAAATTCATACTATTTATTTGGTTCCGGCTGGTATTAGTATGAGAAAGCCTCTGATATTTACCTTTTCCTGTATTTCTGACCCCAATCTTCTTGAAAGCAGGCACAGTGTTAGATATTCACTCATTGAACAGTTCTTTGGAGAACACTTAAAAATGCCAAGCACTGTTCTAAAACAAAACAAAGCTCTTGCTCTCCTGAATTCACCTTCTGGTAAAGGGGCTTGCAAAGTTTTTTGACCAAAATTCACAGTAATTTAAAGTAATATACTTTAAATCATGACCCAGTGCATACACATATATATGTGTAACTATATCTGTGTACAATGCACTGTCATATTTTTCTAATCTCTCTTATTTCCTTTTTTCAATTCTGGTTGTGATTTCACATCCTACTAATAAGCCAGGACTCACACTTTTTTTTTTTTCATTTATTTTTATTAGTTAGAGGCTAATTACTTTACAAGATTGCAGTGGGTTTTGTCATACATTGACATAAATCAGCCATGGATCCCCATCCCTATCCCCGCTCCCCGCTCCCTCTCTACCCGATCCCTCTGGGTCTTCCCAGTGCACCAGGCCCGAGCACTTGTCTCATGCATCCAACCTGGGCTGGTGATCTGTTTCACCCTAGATAATATACATGTTTCGATGCTGTTCTCTCAAAACATCCCACCCTCGCCTTCTCCCACAGAGTCCAAAAGTCTGTTCTGTACATCTGTGTCTCTTTTTCTGTTTTGCATATAGGGTTATCATTACCATCTTTCTAAATTCCATATATATGTGTTAGTATACTGTAATGGTCTTTATCTTTCTGGCTTACTTTGCTCTGTATAATGGGCTCCAGTTTCATCCATCTCATTAGAACTGATTCAAATGAATTCTTTTTAATGGCTGAGTAATATTCCATGGTGTATATGTACCACAGCTTCCTCATCCATTCGTCTGCTGATGGGCATCTAGGTTGCTTCCATAGGACTCACACTTTGAAAAATACTGTTTTGGGGGTTGTTTAAGTGAACTTTTACTTTCAGAGTTTTGCATTTTTCTTAGCATGAAATTTTCAGTCAGTAATTGGTAAATTTGAAAGAATAAGTCCTTGGAGGTCAGATCAGTGAATCTTCTTCCTTGTAACCTAACTTTTACAAGTTAGATCCTAAACCACCCAAAAGTCTGAAGCTGGAGAGGTCACTAATCTATACCCATCCTACCCTGTGCCCAGCGCCTCAGACAACACAGGAATGAAGCTAAGAAAGGAACTGCCCTTGTTTCTCTTTGTGGACCCTCAGTTAGGAACTCTGAAATTGTGTTGACTATAGCAACCCATGCCAATGAGAGTGTAGGAGAGGGATGCTAGTTCTGGTCATCACTGTGTCACCAGCTAACTGACTTTGGTCCTCATCTTCTCTGCTTCTCCTTGTTCCTTGTCATATAGGAGTCAGAATCTACATCAGGGTCCTTGCAGATGCTATGCAGTTTATGTCCATAACAGACAGAAAACATTCAGGCAAGGGGACTGTATTTCAGAGAGGTTAATAGCTGAACTAAGTTACACTGCTACAGAGCCAGTGTTTAGTCTCAGTTTTGCTTGATGTACAAGCCTTGTTTCTAATGTTTATTAATACATTGTTTAATCTGTTTACCTTGTTTTTAATCTGTTGCCTCCCAAGGGTCTCAGTTTCATCCTCTGCCAAAAAATTCCCATGATTCTTGTGTCACCTCCTGCTCTAAATCTAAACTCTGTTTTGGGGAAGGAAAAAAGCAAAGAGGAGCCTGAGAAGGCAGAGGGGAAGTGGGCCAAGCTGATTATCAGATTGTAAATTCTGGTCAGGCCCTGTGTGTGTTAATCGCTCAGTCGTGTCCAATGCTTTGCGACTCTATGGATTGTAGCCTGACAGGATCCTCTGTCCATGGAATTCTCTAGGCAAGAATACTGGGGAGGGTAGCCATTCCCTTCTCGAGGAGATCTTCGCAACCCAGGGATCGAACCCAGGTCTCCTGCAGTGCAGGCAGATTCTTTACCGTCTGAGCCACCAGGGAAGCCCAGTCAGGCCGTATCAGGTGTTACAAGGATAAATACAAGTACTTCTACTGGATGATAATCAGCCACTGCCCCAAGCCTCTCCCCAGATACCCTACTCTACTCCAGCCCGTCACTGAAACCCCTCCTCCACAGACCTTTCCATAGTCTAGTGACTAAAGGGTTAACCCTTGACATCCAGGAAGCCTGTAGGACCTAGCTCCAGCTAAGGCTAACTGCCTTCAGACTGGTCAGTCTTCATCCTCCTCTACAGGATGTTAGGTATTTTGCTTAATGCTTTCAGGGACCTGGGTCTTCTGAAAGCCAGGGCAGAGCCAAATGAGATTACCACCGAAAAGAAGGAGCTGCAAACCCTTGTTTTCTCTGGCAGGTGGGATTAAGGAGCATATGGCTACTTTCTTGGACAGGCATCAAAGCTTTTCTATTTTTTTCATTCTCCTGGCTCCCCCAGTGAGACAAAGATACCATTCAGCCATCAAACATCCTTTTCC